ATGTAACTTTTCGCTTGTAGTTTTGTATTTTGTGTGTTTAGTCCTATAACTTTTAATTAGATTTTTGTAGTATTTTCTAAACTATTTTAGAAAAATAACTATTTTAGAAACCATAACTTTTCTGGTATTGTTGAATGTTTTTTTTGTGTTCACTTTCAGAATGTTCTTGGTTTCCACTGTTAGTTATTTGTTCGCTCCTTGGTATTTCCTATTTTGTTCTGTATGGCTGGTCTTAAAAATCTTATTTCAAAAGGTGACAATTCAGCGTTTTAGAATGTTCCGCCTGTGGGCTCAAACTGAAGGTGAAACGAGTGTTAATTTTGCTGATAGTATGACCGGGAGCTGGGGGTCAGTAAATGGATCATCTCCTGCAGAGAAAAAGCAGAGGAGCACTATTTTAAAACAAGACAAGTGAAGTCTGGTTGAATACACCATTGATCTTTTCTGGCTGTGAGAAGAACGAGAAGCTGAGCGACAGTAGCAGGGAGGAGAGAAAACAGATAATATGACTGCTGGCCTCTAGAAGCTTGGACAGCCTTTTATAGATGCTTTTTTCTGTCTAAGTGTCTCTGCCCAATCCTTCTCTCCATTTCTCTTCTGTGTTTATGTGCATGTTGACCGGGTGGTCGCAAGACAGCGCAGGCCCCATGCTGACAGGCCTGACTGGCTGTGGGGAGCAGAGGGGAAATCAATGAGTGCTCACAATAGAGTGCCAGCATCCAGACAGCTAACAGCTCCCCGAGGCCATGCGAGAGAGGTGGTGGAGGAGAAGAAGGGGGATGATAGAAGAACAGGGGGATAAAAACAGAGAAAAAGGCAAAGGGAGGTGGAATGAGGTCGGTGAAGATGATCTTTTTCTCCTTTTCTTAACCACAAGACTGCTATAGGTTGTTTCCGAGGCATTAAAGAAAAAGAACATTTGAAGCACCAACTCGTAGTGTTCTTTCATGAGCGTTCATGTCCAATAAAGCATGTGTGTCTTAAGGGTTCACACACAGTTCAAGAAACAAACTCTTGGCTGTATCTGAAACTCGGCACTCATCTTATGAGATGAGAAGTCAAGAGTGGTGAACTGACTCCCAGGGGGCGCGGCCGCAGCCATAAGCAGTGTTATTTTTAGCTTTCTTATTATTTTCTTTATCGTCGCAAAGTTTAATTTCTGTATGCATGTGTATGTGTGATCCCATTTTTGTTACATTATTATGCAATGCAGTATCTGACCTTGGGAAGAACATGTGCCAGAGGGACAGAGAGAGAGAGAAAGGGAGAGCTGAGTAAATGTGTGACCACTTCAACCTCTGTGTCATCCTTGGCTGCACAACTAGCTGCCTCAGTAGTCACAGAGCAGCTCTCGTGAGGACTCTGGGTATTATGCACTCAATTTGCCATTTGTATGTATAACATCAACACTAAATCTCAATGCAAGACTAGAAAAAGGAAATGAGGGCTTTCTCTTTTGTTTGAAACAACAGTTGGTTCCTAAGACCTATTCCTGAACAGCTGTCGACTCTAATCTTTGCATTGAATCAAAGAGCCTGTAACTAGAGTTAAAATGGAAAACAGGCTGCCAGAGAAGCCACCTAAGCTAGTGCCTATTTCTCAGGATGACATTAATATAATAGGGCTGGTGCCCAAAACAACTTTGTATTGATCCGCATAACCTTTTAAGCCAGTCGATTGCAGCACTCTAAGTCAGAACGCTGCGGCGTTTCAATGTTTTCAAGCAAGGATTGGTTGCATCGCTGTCCGTCAGACATTTTCTCTTTACTTCTTTATTCAAGCTGTGTCTTTCATGTAAAGCTGCATGTGCCTTTGTTGTAAATATGTACAAATTGGTTCAAATTAGGCCAATCGACACCACAACGATGGTAAGCTTGTCTTGTCTTGTTGTAATAAGCATTTACAGCTGCCTTGCTGAGTCATGCTCCTCAGCAGGATTACTGCTTACCAATGTACAGACCATCCTCAAACACAGAGGCTTTGGATATATCCAGCAGCTAACGATTATATATTTGGCTCAGAAAAAAAGATTAATAAGCACCTAGATACATTGTTAGTACCAGTAAACCAGTTTTCTTTTTGTTTTTCTGGTTCTTACATGTTTTATATACAAATCAGGTCAACTCTTTGATCAACAACACAAATCATACATTTTAAAGACAGAGACTGGCAAACCCTTTTTTTTGTTTTAAACATGAGTATCAACATATTTTATCTGACAGAAAAACACAAAGTAACAATAAACTGACATATGGTAAACAACTGCATCCTTCACATTTTCTTCTGACACCCCAAAATTAAAACCAGATTAACCCATTAATAGTCATGAACGATGTAATCCTCGTATAAATATAACTTCACCTAGTGATTAATGATCACCGTGAAGACCGAGACAAATTATGAAAGAGAAATATGATGCAACAGTAAATCTACAAAGAAGTGACCGTATACCTAAACTGACAGGCTAGACAAGAATAGCATTAAGGAGAGAAACAGAAAAGTCTGTCAACAAGACAGCTATTAGTAATACACTTCACAATGCTGGCTTTTTTGCAACGTGGGAAGAAGAGAGCTATTGTTAAATGAGGGTTATAACGAATCAAACAAAGCATGGTTTACCCCAGTCTACTGTAGGCACATAGCAAATATGAAGAAATAAGGTGCTCTGGTTAAATGGCACTAAAACGTAGCTTTGATTTTACATTCAAAATGCTGTGTGTTGAACATACTATGCCTTAAAACAACCTACCTATGTGGAACATTGTGGCTGCAGCATCTTTTATTGTTTGAGCTTTTTTATTGTCATTGTACAAGTCACGAGTAAAGAGCAAGGAAAATAACTCTCTGCATTTAACCCATCCCCTTGGGGAGTAGTGACCTGCCATTGTGCGGTGCCCGGGGAGTGGAGTAGCGTTAAGGGTCTTTGCTCAGGGAGCAAGAGTGGCACTCTGTGGGAGTGGGGTTCAACCTCAGAACCTCTGCATTGCAAGCTCTATGCCCTAACCACTAGACCACAACTCCCCCTAGGTCTGGGGGTCTGGTCAGTGGAAATGATTTTCTTCAGCAGGGATAAGGAAACTGGTATAGGTTGACATAAAGATAAATGAAAGAAAATGCAAGGTTTGGAAAACATCAGTATCTAAATGTGTAAAGCGAGTAGAGAACTATCCTAGAAAATTAAACAATTTCTACAAAGTTTGCTTTACCCAAAGTTCTATTCACTCATTGTTCTCTTCACCCAATGGGATTGCAGAATGACAATATGTTAGAAAGGTCAACTGGTTTAAACAATGTCTAATGCTTATTTTAGATGTAATGCAAAAATTTTTTATTTTTTTAGGACTCAACAGCACCTTAACATGAGATTATGCACAAACAATTAAGAACATGCAGTGTATGATTTTAATAGGCTTCTTTCATATTTATATTATGTCTTTGAAGTGGACTGGAGTAGAAGAAAGCCTTTATAACATTTAATGCTGCATGGGAACACTCATAATATCTGCTTAGCATCTTAGCAACAGACACACAGCCTGTAGCCTTCTTAAGAGCTTTAGAAACCCAAATCTCTGTGATTATATACATTAACAATGACTAATCATGTTATACAACCTGCCACTTCTCCAGCTCTCCAAAGGGACTATACGACTCAGCTTGCAGACCTCTTGTGTGTCTCTGGAGGGGGTGAAAAAAGTGCTTTGTGCCAGAGAGTTTAGGACGGTCCCTGGGAGTAGCAGGAGGTGGGATTGAATCTCCTCGAGAGAAAATAAATAACGCCCTTGTCTGCAAAGTGACCGGTGCTCGCTCCCAGACTTTTAAGGCGGGTTGAGTTACTGTGGCCCCTGGAGAGGAGCAGACAGGTTGTGTCTGAGAGGAATACCTTCCCACACATGACATCATTCCTGGGATGGCTGCAGCATTAAAAAAGGCTCTAAGCCTGCCCAAAACACCAGAACACAGCCCTTTTTTTGCTTCAGAAAAACAGGTTGGAGCACATAATGTTCTCTGGTAAGAAAACTATGTGATAGGTCAAAATTTTTTGCCTTGATTCTCGATTGATCAGAAAACTTTGTCCATGAAAAAGCTACATTAAACTCTATAATTATTAGCATTCAAGAGGCTAAGAAAAATTACACTAATTATTCAAAGTGGCAACTCTCAGACAGGGAACTTCTTCATTCAATATGTGCACTCACCCACACACACAAAGAAATAGTGGGATCTTACATGCCAGCCTTAGATACAATGCTAATGTGTGGGTTGAAATGATCTCCAACCACCCTCTTCCCAGTGAGGGTGGTCTCCCCTGGGCACTGTGGATGACATTAAAGGGATTTGTCCGTGAAGATCAGACTTTATTACTGCTCATAATGCGCTAGCTCAAAACCACAGAGAGATCAGAGAGGAAAGTGTGTGGAACACAACTTGTAATCATGTATATCTTAATAATCTAAAGCAGGCTCATTTGTTTCATCTGAATCAACAGATGCTTCTTCTGTGCAGCAGCGTAGGAGCTTACAGAGCTTTAAATGTTGGACTGCAGTGAGGCGTCTGTAGCTGATGGGTGCATGGTGAGGGATGGAAGAGTCAAAATATGTACAAAAAAAAGAAACAAAAACAAAAGGAGGAAACCACAGAAGACAGCTCCACCTCCTGGTTGAGTCCAGGAAATGAACAGGAGATTCTTCTTTTATGATTTAATGTAGCTTAAGCGCAAACTTATTGGAGGAGAAGATTCTGAATTAGATTTAGGTCTTGACTTTGACTAGGCCATTCCAATACATAAATATAACAAAACAATTCCATCATTGCTGTGGCTGTATATTCAGGGCCACCATGTGGAAGAAAGACCTCAGTCTCCAATCGTTAGTCTGAAATGTGTTTTATTGCTCGATCTCTTAATAATTAGCACCAACATCTTCCTAAATACTAATTAAATCACTCCTGAAGTCAATTGGTTGTACAGGCTTTATTTAATCGAATCATATAAGGGGCTGAAAACATACTCAAATAAAGCTTTATGGCCTATGCAACCACAGATAGTTTTTGATGTTCACAACTATACACAACTTTGTGTTAGTCACATAAAATCGCAATAGAATTCAAGGATTTTATGTCTGGAAATATTCAAGACCAGGACTACTAAATCTAAAAGGCCAGGCTCTGCCTGTTTTACCTTTTCAAACATAAGCTGAAGATGTTTTCTGTCAGTCTGTGGTCATTGCTGTTCTCCGTAATCTTTTGTTGACATCCCTCTGCGGCATGACGCAGCACCTAACACTGTGCAAACATGTCAGCTGTGAATGGACTCTGGACCTGGATCACCAGTGTGCTGTAAACCACCAAGCCACCCACATGTTGCCACATTTTGGACCCGCAGTAAAAAACACACACATACATAGGGAAAGAAAAAACAAAACAGCAAAATGACTCATCGTTGTGTGAAGCAGGAGCCGCCCAAGTTAATCTGCGAGCCACATCGGCACGACAGTTTTCTGCAACACCACAGCACCTGACCCCATGCTCACCTCGCCACAGCTCCCTCTTCCTCTGGCTGTTTGGACTGCGTTGCCAGGCAGTGGTCTCCGTAAACACAGCACCTGGCAGCTCCGGCAGGAAACCAACATAAGCTCTGTGGAAAATTAGATACCATTACTGCAAACACACCCATTTTGCTCAGATAACTGGATATCTTTAGAAGAGTCAAACTGTGTCAATCTCTTCTTGTTTTGTTTTTGTGTTTTTAACAAAGCACCTTGATTTTACCTCAACAATCTTATCTTAATGTTTGCTAAATCCCAACATAGGCTTTCACTCCTCCTCGTTACTACACACAACCTCTGACTAATTAACTTTCTCTCTAATTTACATTATAAACATGGCCAAGAAAGTGCCATTTACTGGTCCTCCATGCTGCTTATACCCTGTCTCATCAATTTTCTGTTATTGTTGGCAGTTGAGCTGAAGCCCCAGTATTGATCCCTCACCCTGGGAGAAGATAATTTGGGGGAATCGAGATGGACTCTATATCTATTATCTAATGGAATTTCTCCTCCCAGAAAGGGCTATGGATTTTCTGCCATTGAAGCTGTGAAAATGTGTGTCTGTGCAGGCCTTCTTTGTATGTGTCAGTGTATGAGTGTCGTTTCAGAGCAGATAGACTTTTTTTTTTTTTTTAAAGGAAAAAATTATGCTGTAAGGAACCTATGTTGGAGAGTGGCACTAAGGCTTCACTGAGTGCTGAAGTATTCAGGGAAATGCTCATTCTGTGAATGTGTATTGACCTGCTGCTCTTTAAATGGCTCTCTCAGAAACTACATATAGATAAGGTCATGTTCTTTGTGCATGGCGTCCAACTATGACTCATGAGATAACGTTTTGTCACACTCCTGCTTGTTTCATTTTGTTTTGATGGGGATGCATTCAGAAGAATATGCTGAGATACGTTTAGAAGATGTAGTCATTACTTTTTAATTGGTGCTCTCTTTGCTAAGTAGCTTTAATATTTTAATTTGGAAAGAGTTCAGTTGAAGTTCAATTGAGCAGGTCTTGCAGTTTAGAAAAAATGATGATTTAATCATGTAGTGCAGAGTTTTTACATTACTGATAAAATGTTTCTCGTAAAACTGAAAAAAAACAAAACTGTTTCTGATCGGCGCAAATCATTAAAGAAACGGCAAACCTGGCAGCAGCAGTTGGAGCATTGTGTCCATCTGTTATGTTTGACGAGCTTCCAATAGGAGACTAAATAGGACAAGACTAGATCTTATACATAAACAGAACCAGATACAAAAAAAAAGGAATACCATAACATACATTAGCAGTTTTGGATGGTTTTGTTTCCCAGATTTTGTGGCTACAATGTTTAGACGGTAAAGTCTACTCAATTCGTCGTCATGGCTAATATAGAATCACTTTTTTTTTTTTATTATTCATCAAAGAAGTTTGATTTTAATTGAAAATGAATGAATGTATCTGCAAAGTAACAATAATTGTCATATAAAACGCGAATATATAACATCTGATGCTGGGATTATTTTATTAATATTTCTGTAACAAAAACACATGTAAAACAATCATGTAGATCGTTTTCTTAATAAGCAAAAGAAAAGTATATATTATTTTTCACCATTGATATTTTGAATCTTCACTAAGCTCCAAGTATTTCTGGTTCAAAGGGTTTCTTGCCATCAATCTAATCCTTAGTTCCTCTTTCTGTCAGATTTAGGTCTTAGGGACTCTTTTCCACACCAAACCAAAACTACACCTTTCTAGTCAGAAAATGCATGTACATAAAATTAAAGATTACTATAAACCTTGATCTAAAAGACATGTGAACTGTCTTGGAATTTAATGAGTTTAAAATCAATTTAAAAAATCACGTGACTGACAAACAGAAAAATATTTAATTGTTCTTCATCCTTCTATGGTTTCTACGCTTATTAGTTTAACGGAACAAACACACATATTTCCTTTAGAAATATGTATTTCAACATTTAAATCATAGCAAATGCAATAGTTTACATTTCATGTATGGTAGCTTTAAGTAATTCCCAGCTAAGTGTTACCCTGCCAGGCTAAGGCCTCCATGCAAGGCCTCCTCCTGTCAGCTTGGTTGACTGACTGCCTCCTCTGCCACAGGTCATGCCGCTCATCTTCCTTGACAAAAAAACCTTAACTATATTGTCATTGTTGTGTTTTTAGAGACAAAAATAAGCCTAATTTACTGGAAAAAGCAGGGCTGATCTGAGCATGGGTGCAGTCATTCTTAACACAACATTTGATAAAAGAAAACTCAACAACTTTGGCAAAATCTGCAAAAACAAAAATCTGATTATTTGACAAAGTAACATACACATTATGCAATAACAAATAACAGTTTTATGAATGTGGAATTTTAAAACAGTGCAAAAATCTACTAAATATATGACATAACATGACAAAAGTCTTTTGTAGTTAAGAATAGTGGCAATGGAACATAAAAAAGTGAAATGTATCCATGTAACAGAATAGAAATGCAAAACTATGGTAGCAAAAGGACATAAACTTCAACTTGAAATGTAACTTTTAGCCACTAGCGGTGCTAGACCTGTAGAGTCCAGATAGGCCACTTGCAACACTGCACTGTCACTAAATGAAGCAGAATCCCTACATGTTTCTGAATCTGATCCACTTTGGACCAGTAGACTGAGAAGTCATGGAGTAACTAATAGAGACAAGACCATATTCACCTATCTAGATTACATTTTGAATCAGAGAACATTAGTGTTGCCAAATTTAGCTCAAAGTAAACAGACTGCATCCTGGGGCCAAGAGAGAAAAAAGAATCAGCTGAGAGAAGCAAAATGTCTTTGTGGAGATAAAAGGGGGTAATTATTTCATCCACTGTTAATACAAAAATATTGATTTTTACCCATTTTATAAATGGACTATGGCCATTTCTTAGAGGGCCAGAGGTCAAATGATCTGTAGATGGGTTACACCTTGCAAATCAAAAGGAAACAAATGCAGAAGCATTATAATGGAACGGATACAAATACAACACTGCAACCAAAAACAAAAAGAAATGCAAACCTTGATCTTCTCCACATTTCATCAAGGTAAATAGAGTATATCTTTATTTATTTAAAACCGTGAGGAAGAAAGAAAATTATATTTATTTAGTTTAACTAGAAAAATTCTAAATAGCATGATTTGCATTTATATTCACCCCCCCTTATGCAGGTACCCCTAAATAAACCCCTGTTTAACCAACCTGCTTTAAGTAGTAACCTCATTATGAATTAAATAAACTTGTGGTTTCTTTAACAGGTCTTTAGTTTAGGGCCACAAAGAACATTAGAGGCTATGTTGGCTCAGGATGCAGAGGTTCAACCTGTAACATTTGGTTTGCCATTTAGATCCCCCCTCTACCCATTGTGTCCTTGGGCAGATGGCCGATCAGATTCCATTTTTACCATCAGCAGAGGAACAATTGCATGACAACCTTGCCTCTGTCTGTTTGTCCAGGGTTCCGTGCCACCATTCGCATGTGAGTAACTTTGTGATGACTGGAAGTAGTGCAAAGCACATTGATGTTTCAGACTGGATAAGGTGCTATAAAATTGCAGCCCTTTTACCAAACAGAAGCACAAAACAGGATAAGGATACATTAAACACAACAAAGCTATTGGTTCTTAAACTTCAACTATCATAAACAGTGTTTCTTCCAATGTAACGCCTGGGGAAGCTGACATGTTCAATGGGTGAGAGCCATTGCCTAGTCTATCATAAAGCAACATAGTGGCAGACATGACCAGGTAACTAGGTAAGGAAAATAATTTAATATCAGTACATATGAAAAGTTATTTGATTCAGTAAAGGTGATATTTCAATATAAATTATAGCATTTATTGCTGACTGCATCCCAGGTTCTATGTAGTTTTATATGTTTTTTTTAAGGCAAGTATTTCAAATGTGTTATATTGGGGGACTTTTATAAACATGGCAAAATTATTGGCATACATTTGTTCAGATATCTAGGGAGACCCCATGAGGAAGTAGTTTAAGTCTTTGACTGGCATGTGGGGAACCTTCCTGGTCTGAGGAGCAAGTCTTAATGTCTTGCTGTGGTGAGCCTTAATAAGTGAACAGCTGAAAGAACACAAACAAGTTTTTCATGGCAGCTGTTGTGGGGAGCTGTATTTTGTTGACATCAACATTACCACGTATTCAAAAAGATTAAGAAACATATATTCTGAAAGTTTTGGCCATATTATCAAGCACTGCAAACATATACTCATAACTGAGGGACATTTAAGTTTACCAATTAACCAATTACCTAAGACTTATAGTTTTTGGACCATGGAAGGAAGTCCAAGTTCCTGGAGAAAACCATGTATACATGAAAATTCCTTTTTGCTGAATCATCAGTAGCCTGTTGTTCTTTTGACTAATAGAAACTGGAAAAAGAAAAAAGAAAAAACATTTGCCAACCTACAGAGAAATGTTGGCCAATGGTATATCTGATGCTCAGGTAGGAGAAACTTTTAACAGGAAAGCTATTAGCTGTATACTTTATGGAACAGTGGAAAGAAAAATGTTAACATGAAAGAAAATCATAATTAATCTTATATAAACTTTGTTAAAGAAATGAGACCGAAACAGAACATTTTTCATGTTGGTTCATATGTTCTTAATCTGTTTTTTTTTTTCTTCTTATAATTAGGTTTGACCTCATCAAAAAACATGATGAGGTCAAACCTGACCTGAACTCATAAAAAATTGTTGCGGAAAAAGAAGACTTTAATCTACTTCCAAAAGATTTTAGAGCTGCTAAATGCCGAGTGTCTAAACTCCTGGATAACCCAGATTAATCCAGCAGTGGCACCTCTGAACTTCAGTGTCTCTTGGTGTCTACTTTCTTTACAGTACACAGGAGACAGAGCCCCAGCACTTTTCCTGCAGGATTATTTATTATTTTTGCAGTGTGAATGGTTACCTCACCCTGGATTTTGTTGAACATGAGCGCATCCTTCGGTGGCACAAGTTCAAAAACAGAGACTGAAATCAGCGCTCTAATGGAGAAGGTGATAGCCTTAGTGGGCAAATGAATGTCAGCCACTATTAGAGTCCCACGTAATAGCATCTAAC